CCCCTTTTCTCATGTTATTGAAAAACCCTCAATTCACTAGCATAAATAGCTGAGCTACTCATGAAACAGAATGAGACGCAAAGGACACAAGCTGCAACTCAGGAAATTCCAACTAGGCATCACCATGAGGAAAGTCTGGTCAAACACTGGAGCAGGCTGCCCAGACAGAGTCTCTGTCCTTGGAGATATTCAAGCCTTGACTGGACAGCTTTGAGCAGGAGGTTAGACTTCCAGAGGTCCCTTTCAACTAAGTTAGTCTATGATTGTAATATCTCTTTAGGTCTTAATAGTTAGAAGTAGAAGCATCTTGATCTTTTGTATTTTGCCACTGTACCAGCAGATGCTCCTCTACTTCCTGACTTTAATCACATGCTGATTCTCTTTTGAACAGGGATGGACTACCACAAAAATATATGAGTGTACATCACTTGTACGTGGCCTAAATCCTGAAGTCAGCCAAAATTATTTCTTGAGTCAACAACTCTTCTTAAGCAAGTCTTGGCTGACAGAGGGCTTATGCAAGTTTCCAGCGAAGTCTTCATTAAATACAAGACAAAACGTAAAGGAAATTCTAGGCACTGCTGCAGCTCAAGTGAGCACTGCCATTGCTTCCTTGCTCTTACCTTCAACACCACCACCAAAGGGAAGCCCAAGCCAGTAAGGCTGGCTGAACTTTATTCTTAACTAGGGGTACAGTTCGAGAACAGACACCAATTGCTGGACTTAAACAAACAAACAAAGAACCAACAGGCTTGAGAGGGTCTCAGTAAGCTAGCCTGTCCATTCTCCTTTGCCAGTGTTCTTTAAGAGTCATTTAAGGACCGCTTTGAGTATTTCAGTAGTGTCATCTAACGAATTATCATTTTCCAAGTAACATATCCGTACTGCAGCTTCCTTATTGCAGCATTATTACCCCAAACATCCTGCTATTTCCAGACATTCTGGATTAAAAACCCAGCTAAAGAGTTCAGGACAGCTGGAGACTTGTTAGAGTGTTCTGCGACAGTGCAGTCAATTGCTGCCCAAAGGAACAGCCATCACTATTAACATTCCCTTCTTCAATAAGTACAGGATCACAGCCTGACAATTCAACCACAACAGAAAGAAAAGAATTTTAAACAGTGAAAAGCTTTCAAACAAACAGTATTTATTCACAAAATGCTTAAAAGTTAAGGATTTAAACAAGGTGTTCCAGCTCAGCCATGCTTCTTTCTAATTGGCTTTATTTCCGAGGGTATAAATAAACTCTGCTAGAAGGGTCAAATATCTAAATACATGTAGTTATGCCTGGAAATATACATTCAGGTTACTAAATCTCAGCTGCACATGCAATTTGTGCATGGACTAAATTAGCATCAAATTCATTACATATCACTGTTGCCACAGTAGGTGGCCATGGCATTTTTCTGCATACACTTGTTTTCTTAAATTATTCAAATACCTACTAGTGAGTTATCCACTATAAATATCTGCAGAGACATGATTTAAAGCCTCTGACACGGAATAAATCTTTCTTCATTAATATTTTCTCATGTCTTTCATCTAGATTTCAGATGTACCAAAAGAATATTTGCAGCCCTGAAAAACGAAAGGCAGTAATTCCATTTCATACCAATCTTGAAGTAGAGCAAAACATCAGCAGCTCTCCAGCTATATAAAAGAAATTTTATAAAAAGTTTGTTGTAATCTGTTTTTCTACCATTCTTTTGAGAAACAATACATACTAAGATTGCAAAGTACAGTACACAAATATACATGCTAAGATTGCTGTCAATTCTGCAGACTTAAGAATTACTTGAAAGGATATGGGAAGTTGGTAATATATCCCACAATACTGATCAGCTAATACTCCTCCAGGTGTTTGGGAGTGGAGAGAGAAGTTAAAAAAGTGATTCATCAACTGATTCATCAACTGATTCACTGTTTCCTGACAATTTTCTGACCTTTCCAACCTGACAAATTCCAACCTTTTCCACATGTAACGAAATAACCTTTACCTCCCCCTTTTTCTTTCTAATCTGCCATGCAGAACTTCCGTCCTGATTCACTCAATCTGAATTTTGAAAACGAAGACCTTTCTAGGTCTAAGCAAACTCCCCGTTTAGGTTGTCCTCTTTGCTATGTTAAACAAAATTAGTTCATTATCAGTGGTCCCAATAAAACCTGGAGCCACAAGCAAAAACAATTGGCAATGCAGAAAAGCCTTTCAACAAGGGAACACCAGCCTCTAGTAGCAAGCTGAAGGAGAAGAGTTGCTTTCAGCAACCCTTGAAGCCAAGTTAACTGTCAGATGCCAGACATATGATTTACTACTACACATAAGCAACAGGCACTGCTCTCAATTTTGGAGCATGATGCAAGTGCCCAGCAGCAATTCCTAAATTTAAAAGTAGAGAAAGCAATTAGGGAGGAGGTTAGGTTTGACGAAGCTTTCTGCAAACATCGAGTGTCAGCGTCACAGCTCCTGATCTCTTCTCAGACAAGCTACCTGTGCAACCCCACAC